GTCCTTTCGTTAGAAACCTGCTATGAAAAAAGAAAGAGGACTGGAATCTACACATTGATTCGTTTTTTTTTTTTTTTCGCAATTTTTTTTTTGAACCGTATGCGTCAAAAGATGCATGTACGGTTCCTAAGGGATACAACTTTACCCTAATCAACCGACTTTATCGAGAAAGATTACTTTTTTTAGGCCAAGAGGTTGATAGTGAAATATCGAATCAGCTTATTGGTCTTATGGTATATCTCAGTATCGAGGATGATACCAAAGATCTGTATTTGTTTATAAACTCTCCTGGCGGATGGGTAATACCCGGAGTAGCTATTTATGATACTATGCAATTTGTGCGACCAGATGTACATACAATATGCATGGGATTAGCCGCTTCAATGGGATCTTTTATCCTAGTCGGAGGAGAAATTACCAAACGTCTAGCATTCCCTCACGCTTGGCGCCAATGAGGTTTTTATTTGAGAGAAAAAAAAAGACTATGCCTTCGCCATATGAAATATGAATATTAAGTAATAATAGCATGGCACTTTGAATTCGATATGAGAAAGTTTTTTATTGTTTTTTCAAAACATTAGATTATGTATCGAAAGAGTAGTATGAGATTAAAGGTATTTCCGATTTTATCTTATCTATCGGGAGTCCAGTTCAGCGTCACAAACTTTTTTGTTTTCACACTAGAGGACTTTTAACATATGTTATGAAAGAGTGCGAAAATAAAAAAAAATAAGATTATTTTTTCCTTATTTTATTTGATCGGCTCAAAAAGAAACTTTGGGATTGCTGAATCACAGACAAAAAAAATCATAAATATATAAAGCAACGGAGCCATCATAGTATTTTGAAACTCCTTGGAAAGGAAGGGTGGTAATTTGATCATTTACCGATATGGGTCTGATAGATCCTATTTTTCTCTGTCTTTGATGGAAGGTAAGGGTCAATTTGATTGTAGAGCCGTATGCAACGCACAAAAGATGCCTGTACGGTTGTTCAATTCTATCTTTTTTTTGCTTGTTATTCTTTATCTTTCTTTCTTTTCTCTTCCTTTCATCATGCGAGATAGAGGAACCTTTTATTATGTTATATCATCAGGGTAATGATCCATCAACCTGCTAGTTCTTTTTATGAGGCACAAACGGGAGAATTTATCCTGGAAGCGGAAGAACTGCTGAAACTGCGTGAAACCCTCACAAGGGTTTATGTACAAAGAACGGGTAAACCTTTATGGGTTGTATCCGAAGACATGGAAAGAGATGTTTTTATGTCAGCAACAGAAGCCCAAGCTTATGGAATTGTTGATCTTGTAGCGGTTGCATGAAAATAGCATGGATTTCGCCCAACTCCGTGATTTGAGATTTTATCTTTTTATTTTACCAAGTTTAATATTCTATCTATAAAAACTTATTTAATAGAATATTAACTAGAAGTAATTCATAATCATCTGGTTAGGATCGATCTAAACCAGCCCATCATATTATGGATATGATTCAACATGCCAACTATTAAACAACTTATTAGAAATACAAGACAGCCAATCCGAAATGTCACGAAATCCCCCGCTCTTGGGGGATGCCCTCAGCGTCGAGGAACATGTACTAGGGTGTATGTGCGACTCGTTCAGATCATGAGCTAGCCCAAAAGAAAGAAAACAATTTTTCCAGTATCCATGATCAATACCGATGAATAGGATAGAATGGAAAAACAAACTCCATTCACTATCTAAAAATAAAAAAATCTATCATATCCCTATCCCTCTATTGTGTATGAAATTTATGGTTTCCATTGGTGCAAATCCAATCACCTCAATTTAAGATGATAAGCAATTCTCCATTGATAACAAATGGTTATCCATTAAGCGGAGGAAATCTGATTTAAAAAACAGAAAGATTAGGCTCTCCCCTCTTGCCAAGAACGGACTAACAAGGTCAGCTACCCAGCTAACCTTCATAATTAAATACCGTTACTGTATATATAGGTAGATCTGATTGTGAAAGACCTATTACTGGATAATTCATGGGTAGAGCTAAAGAATGTGAACTATACAAGTTACCAATAACATTGATTAAATGAAGTAAAGGCTCCGGTGTATAGAGAAGACCTCACCGTTTAAGAAGTAACCATAGAAACGATGGAATCCACTATTTCTTTATCTATTTAGATTGATTTTTTCAATTGACTCTATTTTTGATACCTAGTAGAATACAATTTCTTATTCTTATTTCTAAGTGAAATGCCTAGAAAAAGAAAAAAGCAAAAATCGTGGTCGGGAAGGTTATAGTAGCCAAAGCCATTGGAATTTTGATTTTATACATTGGAAAAATCCGTTTTGTTATTAATAGACTAGGAAAGGGGAAAGAATAACTGAAAGAAAGGAAATCAATTAGTTATTCGTCAAAGTTTCATTTCATTTATTCAATGACCAGAATTAGACGGGGATATATAGCTCGGAGACGTAGAACAAAAATTCGTTTATTTGCATCAAGCTTTCGAGGGGCTCATTCAAGACTTACTCGAACTATTACTCAACAAAAAATAAGAGCTTTAGTTTCGGCTCATCGGGATAGGAATAGGAAAAAGAGAAATTTTCGTCGTTTGTGGATCACTCGAATAAATGCAGTAATTCGCGAAATAGGGGTATCCTATAGTTATAGTAGATTAATCCATGATCTGTACAAGAGACAGTTGCTTCTTAATCGTAAAATACTTGCACAAATAGCTATATCAAATAGGAATTGTATTTATATGATTTCCAATGAGATCATAAAAGAAGTAGATTGGAAGGAATCCACCGGAAGAATTTAAACAGAGTTCCCCGGAGAATGAACTCCGGGAGGGTAGAGTAGAAATGAATATGATAAAATATCATAAATTGATAAATAAAGTAGTCAAAATGAACGAACGCATTCAATAAAAAAAAAAAAAAGATTTCTTCTTCCCCGATTCTTTTTTTTTCTTACGACATGATAATTAAATTTGGATTCTTAGATTTTTCGAACAAAATACCAATCTGCCTTTGAGTTTGGATTGGAATTTTGATTCAAATGAAGAAAGAGTAAGTCTATTTATTTCTATTTCTAAGACCAGTAGTTCTAGCCGTCGACTCGGTTCTTTCAAATTGTTTCTCATTATTAAGAAAAGGTAACGAAGATAAAATACGAGCTTGTTTTATAGCAGTAGTAATTAATCGTTGTTGTTTCAAGGTCAATCTATTCACTCGCCTAGATAATATTTTTCCTTGTTCACTAATAAATCGACTAATTAAACTCATGTTTCTATAATCAATTCGATCCCCCGATTGAATCGGGGGCAAACGCCTACGAAAAGATCGCTTGGATTTAAAAAAAGGTCGCTTGGATTTATCCATGGTTTGTTTAGTTTATTCCTTATCCCGAAAATCCTATTTCTCGGATCTAAAATGAATTAGAAATAGGATTTTATTTGTTTATATTTAAATATGTTATATATAATAGAATGTCATTTTTCCCCTTCCTTGGAAGGGTGACACACAGGTGCTTAGTTTGATCTATTTCTTTATCTCCCCATGAATCGTATGTTTGTAACAATAGGGACAGAATTTTCTCAATTCCAATCGATTAGGCGTATTGTGCCGGTTCTTTTGAGTAATATATCTGGAAATGCCCGTTGATCCCTTATTAACACTGTTTCGGACACAACTGGTACATTCCAAAATAACTGTTACTCGGACATCTTTACCCTTGGCCATGAACCTCCTTTGGATTTTTGATTTATTCAACTCTTCTATTTTCGATCCGAAAGGAAGAAGAAGAAACGAAGGAAAAAAAAAGAAGTGACTAACTGAAAATCCAATTATGAAAGAAAGATTTCACTGCAATCAATATAATAAATCAAAGTCATAATATTAAGTAATAAAATGATTTCTAAACTCTATTTCAAATCGTAGTACAGTATTTTAGTTAAGTATCTTGTCACTAAAGTTATAATTTTGCCTCAATTGACTTAATGACTGCTAACGGTATGTTTTGTCTTGTCATTTCAATGTTTTGTCTTGTCTACTAATCGGTGTAAATATACCATAAATTTAGTAAACATACCATTAATATTATAATTTAAAATTTTTGGTATGATACCGAAAATCCATAGGATGTATCGTAGGCTTCTCCTCCTATTTATAGAGACCAAAGTTGATAACGGAAAGTAAAACAGCAGGGTCCGTTCAATGCTGTATGGAACTAATGCGGTGGTATTCTTGTTATTTTGGATGCTGCCGCATTTAATCATACTATTTTAATTTGTACAGTGTTCATGTCCCTCTTATGAATTATATTATATTTAATTTATTTTATTTATGTAATCTGCACATAAAAACCAGAAAACTACTACCAAGAGTAATGAACTTGTGAAAAGTAGTAGGGGGTGATAATTTTTAATACAACACGGCAAAACGACTCGAACTTAACACAACAAAATGATTCAAACTCAACACAAAATTTATGAGTTATAATTTTTTATTTCTTAACACGAACCTGTAAATTACATAACCTATTAACAAGAATAATAAATAGATTAAATTAGTGTCAAATACGAATAATATAAAATTGACACGATTAATACATTTGATTAATATTATAGAAATAAAAGATAATTATTGTTTATTGTTTATTAAGCATTGACATAGTTATTATACAAAAAAGACATTTTTCCTTATTATTATTATGTTTATTAAGTTTTTTTTAATATATACAAAAAGTTTGATCATGGAATCAATTGATAATAGAATCTTAGCGTTATGTTTTTTCTTCGGTCTTTATATGGGTCAATACGAATATAAACACAAATTTAACAAGAAAATAAATGGGTTAGTCGATACAATACAATTATCTAAATAGGTTGAATTATAATTTATTAGTACTCGACACAAATTGATAATAACACAATACAAACCTGGAAAGACACGTAACAATTGACACATTTACAGGGAGGAATGGTTTCTCACTCAACAATTGATTGATTGGGTGGAAACTTTTGATATTAACTTTTTTGCAAAAATACTCATCGATAAACAACAAAATTTCGAATTTGGAGTAACATTCTATGCTTCGACTTGCTTCAGGATGCTGTATTTTAATACCTCAACGGATTATTTATTTATTTTTTGAGTTGATTACGGCACCTTAAAAAAAATTGGTATCATATCTCAATTTACCATATTATGATTATTTTTATTCTATTTGTAGGTCTTTTTTACCACTATTGTGATATCCTAAAAAGTGATAAAAATAATTACAATAATAATAATAAAAACACCCATAAATATAATAAAAACACCCAACATATGTGATAAATTTTTTAGTACTAAAGAAAAAAGTTATAAATAATTATCACATATGTAGTAAAAACACTCACAATAATGATAAAAATACTTACAAAAGTGATAAATCACCAAAAAAATGATAAATTTTTTTGTTATAAAATGACCCACAAAATTTATAAAAATACTCATTAAAATGTTAAAAGTGAGAGGTACGGTACTAAAATTATTTTTTCACTACCGCAATCAAATCCTTTTTTTTAGAAGTTATAAATATATTGTTCTCAAGGCCAGATCTCCAGTTAATTCCCTACCCACCTACCTCGTTTTTACAGCTTCATTTCAGTCATTAAAATTTTGTCACCAAGCATCCGAAATATCTGAAATATTTCTGTTTTTAAAGAAATCAAAATGAATTAGTTATAAAATTAAAAATTTTAATACTTTGAGATGTTTCATTATGTATTTACACAATTATTTTGGAATGTTTTAAAACATTTCAAGATAAAAAAATAATTTTTAAATTTTCTTATTTTGTTTTTAAAATAGATTGAAACATTTCTGAAATACATCAAAATATTTCTATTTCTTAAATAACCAAAATAATAAAAAAAAATAAAAAAGATTTGATCATTGAATGAGACTTTCGGGACATTGGTCCCAAACGTATCTGTCCTCTTAACATTAACATTGAAAAGGAGAGAAGTTTGACACGAAGCTACCATTCAACATCCAACATTCAATATGAAGCAGCAACCCCATATTCAACTCTATCTTTTTCATTATCCGCCCGAGTTTTTTTTTTTTTTTTTTTATGAATTTGTAAGGCTCAGTGAGTAGCCGGTAAAAAGTAAGTTTGATCAACAGTTGAAAATTGTTCATTATACATCTGCCGTTAAATTTAATTTTTTGATATCATATTAAAAAGTGAGGGATCAGTACCCTAGTCGGACCCCATCTTTATGTCCCTTTCACTGATCAATGTCTCAGTCTTTTTTTTTTTTTTTTATCAATGGGACCCTCAAATCATTTACACTGGGCGATTACTGATCATGTGAGGGTGGTGGAATCACTCACACACATACGCACCCCCACAAAAGCTATTCGACGTGGGATAGCCTCTTATTTTTACATTGTTTAAATTTCCTAATTATTACATGCAAAATATATCTGTAAACATAAATAGCTTCTTTTCTTTATATTGTATACAAAAAGCGCCTATTTGTTAGTCGTTTATTCCTTTATCTAGTTACTACTAAAGTTTTTTGGGTAAATTTCATTAACACCCTTAGAAAAAAGCCTAATTACAAAGACACCCCCTATAGTTTTTTGAAATATCACTGCCACACTTGTCAGATTTTGTCTTTAATAGAATAGACGAAAATTCTGCTTTTACATAATTACCTTTCACAAAAAAACTCTTTTTACTCATGTAATAGAACATTAAATTTCATTAATTTAAAATTTAATTTTATTAAAATAAATTTTCAATTTCATAAGTTTTATCAAATTTATCAATTTCATCAGTTAATTTTATCAATTAACATTTACTTTCATTAATTCAAATATTAATTTTATAATTGTACCACTAATTTCATCAATTTAACACAAAATTAATAACTAGTTTTATCGAATTCATATTCAATTTAATCAAATTAATATTTTGAAATTTAATTTCATCAAATTAATATTCAATTTATCCAATTTACAATTTAATTTGATTAAATTGAACTTTAATTTATCAAATTGACAATTAATTTCATTAATTTAAATATTAATTTCATCACACTAACATTAATTTCATCACTTTAACATCAAATTAATATTTAATTTTATCAAATTCATATTCAATTTTATCAAATTAAAATTTTAAAATTTAATCTCATCAAATTAAACTCAAATTTATATTCAATTTATTTAATTTAGAATTTAGTTTCATCAAATAGAACTTCAATTTTATCAAATTAAAATTCAAATTAATCAAATTTACACCTATTCTATTAGATGTCAACAATCATCTTCATGTTATTAATGAAATAAACTATCAAATTAGTATTAATTTAGTAAAAAAAAGTATTAATGTAGTGAAATTAAATGTTGATTTGAGGAAAATTAAATATTTATTTGATAAAATTTGAGGTTAATTTTATGTTAATTTGATAAATTGAATATAATTTGGTACTAATTGGATAAAATTGAATGACGATTAGGTGGATGTAATGTTAATTTTATGAAATTGTATATTAATTTGACAAGATTTAATGTAAATTTTAGAAATTTGATGTCACTATTTTAATTAATTTGATTAAATTGAATATACATTTGGTGTTGATTTGATTAAATTGGACATGAGACTTGTTTGAGCCTAAGATTAGTATTATTCAAAAAGAGAATAAAAAATTAAAAAAATTAAAGTAGAAATTATCCAATAATAGTAGCAATATAAAAAAATCTGGTTCAGGCATTAAATTATCTCAAACTGTCGCTACTACAATCCATTTGACAACATGAATTTCCTTATTTTTAAGCTTGTTTCTTGATATATATCATTCTCAAGTGTTTGGATAATAAGTATCTATTATAAGAGTGAGGGCATATGCGCCCAAAAGAATCATAGGTTCAATTGTTAGAAAGCACGGATATAGACACAGATGTTATATCTGATATAATATAGATACGACAATACAACAAAGTTCTAAAAAATAGAATACGAGTATCGTAAGGATACAATTAATTTAAGTAATATTACATATTTTTTATATAAATAATAAGACCTAAAAATCATTGAGTAGAGTTGATTAATATCTTAGAATTGGACAATGGACTAATATGTTAGAATTGGACAGTAGGTTAAGACAAAATTGGGTTGTGGGCTTACACCAAAGTAGGTTGTAGAAAACAAAAGGTCTCATTGAAAATATGTCTATTTAGAAAAGGTATTGATAAAGTTTTTTTTTTAATATATTATAGACAATTTAATAAGAATACATTCTAATTAACGTCATTAAATTGAAAAAGGGTGTTAATAATGTTTCAAATAATAAATGAAGACTCAATTAAGATATCTCAATCTAAAGGATGTATCAATGATAATTACCCCCATTATCTTCCAACTTAGT